CAATAACGCACACAAAAAGAGGAGATTGAATCCAGGAGAGTGTCCCTTCTGGACGAGAACGTTCGTCACCGTTGCATCTGAAAACAAGCTAGGTACGACGAGGGGAAAGACTGGCCTCCTTACCCCAAATTAGAGGTCAGGGTTCAAACTATTCATACGAGGAGGGTCCACAGAGGTCGCGTGGGCGTATTTCGTTCATCAAGCCAGCCGATCGTGTGCAGATTGTCTTGCCCCGGATCGTCGAAGTGTTTTGCTAAGCCTAGCGTCTTTGGCGGTCGCTTGGTCGGTGGGTCCTTGTCGTTGTAGCTTTTTCAGGTATCCATGGTCCTAGCGTTTGTCTCCGCCACGGCGTTCAGTTTCAATTATATTATTTTTTCTTCTCTCTCGTTGGGACGCGCACAGAGAGCACATGAAAATGCACGTTGGTCGTCGCGAGGACGTAAGCGAGCGATGTTGCCGGCGATGTCAATTTGATCATAAAAAGTGCATAAAGCTTTGTAGCTGTCGTAGGCGTGGTCGTAGGATCTTATCGTAGCGTGCGAAAAACTTGCGATCATTTCGCTTCGTGAATACGGAACTTTTCTTAGGTTTTGCTGTAAGATCGTTTTGTGAATAAGCTCTGTTGCCTGTTGCGGACGACGAAGACAAGACAGACGGGTCGTACAAATACGACTCTAGGCAGAATCGCTTCTCGGCCATCGTGGCCTGGTGATGTAGCGGCGTGGCGGCATCTTCGTCCTTATTAATGTCATCTTCCCACCGCTCTCGTCGTGTTGGTCGGCGACCATTCACTCGAAGCCGCTCCGCCGGCTCCGCAATATGCTACTACAGCCCTCGGGTACTTCGACAATGCGAAATTGTAACACGCTGATGCCACCAAGTGGCAAGACTCATAACTACGGTATGCTTGGCCCTCCGTGGCATGATGACGTCAAGTTGCGCCGGATCTCCCGAGGTGCATCGCGCTCTTCGACAGTTGATTTTGAAGCGATCGCCGAAATCCAGGCATATAGAACGAAAAATACAGCCATCGCTTGAAATATGACTAGGCGATTATCAATTACAGGTTTATCTGATTCCAATTGACTTATATCTAGGTGTTTCCTGTATATCTTAAGTTTCGATTCAGGATCCGTTTAAACGTGTGAATGTTTGGTGTTAGTTTGTTTCCGTTTTGAGGGGATCAGTGACTGGCTCACATTAACCATATGCGGCGCGCCTTCCGATAACCTAATACTGCTCCTCGACAAAAGCAGCACAAGAGAAAAAAAGGACTCCACCGAATCGAGTGGCTTTCGCCGGTTCAAATCCAGCAAAATTTTTGGTTTCGGTTTCGCGTTGAATATGGCACTCCTTGCTGCCTTTGGTTGCACACTTGTCCCCACTTGAGTTCGATCGAAGCTCTTGGCCGTCGTCCTCGGAGGGCTGTTCCAGCCAGTGATTTAGGCTCTCACTGGACTCGCTTATCTCGAAGCCATCTCCCATAATAAATTCTGACCCGTCGTTCTTGATATCCGGCGAGTTCAACGCCTTGTTTTTGACCTCGTTGAGGGAATCCGGTGCTTTGAGGTCCCATGTTTCGACGTTGTTCACGCTCAGTGTCGCGGAAGGCACAATAGTCAGGTCCTTCGGCGCTGGTGCGTGTGGTTGTTCCATGTGTGCCAGCCTGCTGGGCTCAGGTTTACTCGTCTGTGTTGTTTGTGGTGCAGGGCCTTGTTTCACTGCCATCGGTTTCTCTGCTATGGGCTCGTCACCCTCCTTATTTAATTCGAGGTTCATCGTGTCGTTCGTTTCAGTTCTCTGTGTTAGGGTTGCAGTGTTGTAGGCGTTACCAAAAAAAAGTAACTAAATATATTACTCGTTACTTGCAAATAAAGGGAACCCATTGCCGACCTACGTTACCTTAAAATAAAAGGGACGCGTTACCGTTACCGTTGCCGATAAAAATTAACTCACGTTACTGTTTAATAATGAACTAAAACATTTCCTGTTTCGACGTTTGAGGTGTGCGTAAGCGCCATAGCTAAAAACTGTATGTCCATGCGGAAACATCAGATTATTACCTTCTTTCCTTTAGCGTTTCACCCAAATAGTCACAAGAATCAACGCGGAAGTATATATAGAGCTGATTTATAACATATTGGTAAGAAACTTAACAGAAGAACCGGCCTCTCTCATTAGCACAGCAATTTAAAACGACCCTAGATATAAATTCTAAATATATTTTATTCACAACATGTTGAAGTACAGAAAGTTGCTGTAAAAACACGCTGCCCCCCTTACCCGAAGCACACTCCGCTGTTTTACTTCAGCAGCAGATGAATTTAGAAGTTGCCATCTGACATTTCACCTCGCTTCTTGGTAAACACGTCTGGGTTTTCAAAGAAGTTTTCCTCTTCTGCAGCGTTCGCTTGTAGTAGGGAAGTGAGGCTCACGGCAAGCCGCGAAGAGACTGTCAGCTCGCTCTTGACGGCCGGAAGGACCGCATTTCGCTTGACTTCATCAGAAATCCACGACACCTTGAATCTCGGGAGCAGTGCAGCGGCAACCCGCAGCTCCTTATGAATCATCACAAGGTCGAAGCTGCAGCAGCGAAATGTATATTGTATTAGCAAAATAACTGGTGTACTTTATCCAAAGGAGTGACGTTCGTAGGCGCGCGAAACTCCCCGCGTCCAAGGGGAGCGTGCACTCTAAGAAAAAATGGAGGAAAAAGGGTAGCAACGGCGCGTCTTCCTTCCGTATACAGACGCGCCCCGAAGCGGACACGAGAAAAAGGAAGGAACGAGACGTTTTCCTCGGCTGTGTTCCAAAATTTACTCGATCTTACACCAGGGTAAGGGTTTTGTACCCTTGGCGTTCTAAAACCTACCCGCGTCCACCATTTTTTAATCTGTGCTGTCACGTGACACGATCCGCCGGAGTAACTCGGATCCATTTGGGTAAGATTTGGAACACAGCCCTCCTTCTCCAGGCAGACGGGAGAAAGCTTTCGCCCTCCCGACTCATCTTCTTTCGGTTTCGTTTTTCGAGCACGTCGTGCACGTTGTTTAATAAATTAATGTTGAGTTGATTGAGCTTCAGCGGCAGCGAAGGCCGCCTGTAATTCCGTCTTCTAGTCCAAACGTGCAAAACATGTCGGTTGCATTGACGTTTTTGCCACTAGTTTTATCAAACGAGCGAACGAAGCCGCTAGAAACAGCGAAGTTCCGGAGCAGTGCCAGCAGCGCTACATACACTCTTAGTTAAATCCTGGCTAAAATGCACGCATAGGCGGGAAAGCGGGTCAAAATTTCGCCGCTTACAAGCAGTTGGTTTAGGTGTCTCAACTTATGCGGCCCGTTGTTATGAGGCCCAGATTCAAGCGGCCCGTTCTCACTCGGATCAGGTATGCGGCCTGAATTTACCAGGGCCTTTGACATTTGACAATTTTCATGCGGTATTGAGATCAAAATTTTCCTGGCTATAAGCGGCCTACGATTATGCGGCCTAAAATTTAGGCTGCGGCAAAATTATCCTACAACGCCATTTTTGCGCCATTCACAGCATACTTGGAAGCATAGACAGCCGGCATGATACTCCGACAAGTTTTTTCTGGAACTGGAACACAAGTTTCAGCAACACAACATACGTCACATGAGGGGAATCGAACCCGCGCCCGCGAAGTGAAAATCAGACACCATAGCCACTACGCCACAACCGCACACATACAATGCTTGCGTTGTCGTATGCTTATATACACACGAATTGCTTGCTAAACTCGTAGACCGATGGGGGAATTGTATGCATTGGTTTGATAAGTGCCTATCCAATGGGAGAAATTACAATAGCATTTCCTCTTCTCCAGGGATAATTTATCTTTTATACCCAGCCCGATGCAGTATTTTAACCCTCGGCACAATGCTTCCGGGGCCCTTCCGCGTAAGCAGCGCATGAGTGAACACCGCACTTTATTGCTAGAACAGTAAAAACAGCTCCAATCGCATCCTCTAAAGGCACGGCTTGGGCACAAGTGACAAACCCGCTGTAAACATGTTTCGCTTGCCTCCATGGACAAAGTTGCCCAACATCGTCCGCCGCGAAAAAGGGAAAAGCGCCGCTCATACATTCATCTGGCTCGCCCCAAACTCCCACTTATCGAACTTTGCTTACTTACGTCTTGCACGAGTGGTGTTGCGAAAAAGCATTATAAGAGTAACCAGACATTGAAAGAGTGACAAAATCATAGTCTTGCAAAATATAAACCGTTTTCTGGCACGTCTCTTACGCTTCCGACTAGGAGAAACAACCGCGGAATCGGAACGCAACCCAACGCACAAACCACCTTCTTCTGCGGGCTATTCGGATAACTGTATATATATCACCGGTTGTGCACGGGCGCCCTTCCCTTGGCGAGGGACACAAGGACGTTTTCGTCGTATACCTTTGTTGCTGCTCCAGAAACGTATATGGTGCATTCCCAGCCTTCAAAATGTGAGCTTATTAAATACCCGAGTGTAACATGCTATACGGCCATATAACTAGCGCCCTTAAGTATGCGATGTCTAACGCCTGTAGCGTTAGGCACATGCAGGATTATCGTGAACGTGATTTTTCAATTTATGCTAACAGCATCAATGAGTTACATTAAAAAGTGTCAGGAATTATGCATTACACTATAAAAAATGCCCGTGCCTCTTTTTTCCCGCACAACACTGGGAGAGCTAATCAACTTACGGAGGCAGCTCAGCGAATGACAACGCCGAAACATATGTTTACACCAAAGAAGGCAGTTCGAGTTGTGACATTAAGCAATGCAAGCGTGACGTTTTGCATTGCTTAATGTCACAACTCAGACTGCGTTTTTTGGTCTAAACATGTGTTTCGGTATTGTCACTCGCTGAACAGCCCTGTCAGTTGTGGTGATTGGCTCTCCGAGTGTTCTGCGTCAATGTAGACGCACAAACGTTTTTTAGAGTGCATTAGCTTCCATTGAACAAAAAAAAAAAAGAACAGCTGATTTGAAGGCAAAATTTCTTTCCTCCAAGCGGCACGCCCATCATATTCAATTTTTCTTTCAAGCGCAGTAAAGCATTTGCTGAATTGAAGCTTTGGTTTGGGCTAATTGGTTCATTAAAATGTAAAAAATTTAAAAGGGGAAAAAATGAGGACGAGACACGCACAACACGGACTAGCACTAACTTTCAACTGATTTAATAAAGTCAGTCAAACCCAGCGCGCATCTGTGAAGTCTTGTCTACCACGCCAACCTTTTGTGATAAAAGCATCCCATACACACTAGACTATCGCGCTGGGTTTGACAGGCTTGATTAAATCAGTTGAAAGTTAGCACCAGTCCGTGGTGTATGTCTCTTCTTCGTCAGTTTTTTTTTTCTTTTTTTTTTTTTGCTTTTAAGTTGTTTAGAGCAATAAAGTATTGAGTTAAGTAACTGTTAGCACAGCCCACACAGTCTGTTGAAGGGTGTATAATCCATTTATTGAAATTCAAACGAACGAACACATTAAGAACTCACACTACTATCACAGTTAGCCCTTTTTCGTTGTACGAAGCATGGAATAGCTGTACTCAAGCATTTTTCAACAAAGAATATAGTGAGATCAAGATTCTGCATTCCTAAGAATATTTATTACTGTTAAACAAAGTACTTATTACTCTTTTTACTGAAATAAATGTGACCGAATGTAGGTAAGTTATGCAAGTCACACAAACTGTATTACAGTATTAACTAAAAAAAAAAGAGATCAGGAGCTGCTGTATTCGGTTTCTTACTGGAAAATATCACAGCATCCCTATCTGCGTCTTGCGCTAGCGTTCAGCAATCCGAACACATCTGCTTTTGCCCATTACTGTATAATAAAAACCAACATTGCAACATGTTATCATATACCACTGGGATCCGCAAAGAATGGCACAAGCATACTTTGATTTGTACGTCATCAGGCTGTTACATTAATCGTGCATTTCCAAAAAACTACTCTTTTTTATGCACTTGCGTTGTAAGATGAACGAGTACTTTCTTACGTTAAAGCCAGGGATATTCTTCCTCTGTGAAATAACACCTGCAGTGACTTTGCCGCAGTAAACACATGTACATTTACGTAACCTTCATGCTCTCGAGAATCTTTACGAGCTTGCTGTTAGCCCAGCTGCGGGGAAATTTTTCACCATTGCTTATCGCACTTTGCACGAGCCCCAAAGTTTGCGCAAATGCCGAGTGGTATGTTATGTTTTTGACATGATACACCGTTAGGCAAAAGAGTAGAGCCTTCTCCAAAGTAGCGTCATTTACCTTGATAATTTTGCCAGGCCCTCCACAAGAGACGATTTTTGTCGATATGCCCCAGAAGATTCTTGGGCCAGGAGATGCTGTTTACTCAGCGGAGACGACGCTCTGAAAAGATTTTTTCTTTTTCAGAACAAACGCTACACATTATACATATATAACATTGTACAACACTTTCCCTGGACACCTATTTAGGTTTCACTGGTACGCCTGTACAATGATATTGTAGTGCAGTTCCAAAAAAATTAACTTAAACTGTCTGTGCCCTTGGCCTGTCTAGCTAGTTCCCAGTGCTAGGATGGTGAAATCATCCAAAAACCAAGGAATGTGCATAAAAAATTTACAGCTGCTTTATAGAAATCAAGTGGAACCTTCTAAACTACACAAATAATAGCCAATGACAACAAATGTCTTTTGATTTGTCTGCACAAATATCTCGCTCACCAACCAGCTTACCGATGTTATGAGTGCCCATTTAGCATGTCTTCCTCTTAGGTAATCGTCGATCTCGGCAAAGTCCATCTGCCGGTTACAGATAGTAGATACCAGTTGCTTAACCTTCGATAGTCTCTGTAACAGGTTAGCCACGTTGTCGCCAAACCTTAGCTCTGTCTCTAGAGTCATCTGCAATTAGAAAGTACATTGTGTGAATCAGTGCAACACCGTTTGGAACAGCATGCACTATTATCCAAGATACTCACAATATCTTCATTAAGAAAGTAGCACGGCAGAGAAGCCACAGGACTGGTCTTGCATTCCCCGAGCGTGGCATGCAGCAGCACAAACAGCCTTTCTTTGTTGAATGAACCAGCTGGACCAAGATCTTTACTAAGTGCCTAAAGAAATAAATTATTATTGGTGTTTTTTCCACCTTTCCAGAAAATAAGTGTCTCAAGACTCACAAGTGTCTTTCAACTACTTGCAGTTAAGGCTACTGCTTAGTGTGCTCCTATGCTGTGTGGCCAGGAAAAGAAGGCCTGACATAAAGCTACAGATACATGGGTCGATGTAGAGTGTTGCACCACCAGTGTCATAGAACATGCTGCTTTACGCCTACATATTTTCACGGTGGAGAGTAAGCATATCGAGTGTAGCTACATGATGTGCACAGTTTTCAATACACAACTTACTGTCAGCTCGATTGATGCAGATTCAGCATCCAGTTCTGGTGGCACAACTGCATTCTGAACCACAGGAGTCTTAGCAGCCTCTCTAGCTGCCCACCTGTGAGTCCTGTGCCGTCTTGCCTCAGACAGTTTGGTCGTGAACACACTCTGAAAATTTTATAAAAGGAAATCGCACAGATCACCGTAATAATCATTTGACAGAGTGTCAGTTGGCTGGCTTGAATAGCAAGATCCATTGAATGAACACTTTAAGGAAAAGTATATTGAATGAAACAACAATTTATAATTCAGGACTTAAATCTATAGGCCATTTTAAGGAAATGTTTGTTTCCTGAATTACTTCAATGTAGACTATTTTGTGGCACAATAATATTTATTTTGTGGAACCAGCTGAACTTAACAGAAATATAGAGCCATTGGGCGTCTTTTCTCCTATCTCTATATTTCTGTAAGTTCCCAGCTGGTTCCACAAAACTAAATATGTACGGCCAACTAGCTCAGGTGATTCCCCTCGCAAATATATACCTAGATAGTGGAGCACATTGAAAGGTATCTGTAACAAGCGGGGATAGACCGCACGGCCGGCAGGACGTGGCCGGCTAAGCAGAAACATGACGCCGTCGTTCCTTTCGCTTCAGGAAGCGAAGAAGAAGTGTTTTGATGTCTCGTGATGGCAATCGAGGTGACCGACGACTACCGCTATGAAATCTGGTAGCGCTAGCAGCCAGATCGAGATTGTAACAACTCTCCCCCTTTAGAACATTGCAAACGTAAAAAGAACTAAGGAGAGTAGCGCTGCACGGGTCTTCTAGCCCTTGCGCTACGTCGCAGATGCGGTGCGCTGCTGGTTGTGGCGAGGACAGTGCTACTGGTGTCCATGGGTTTGCCAACATCGGCAGCTGTGCCAACTGGTACCATAGCAACGGAATCATGTGGAACCGTAACCGGATCAGCAGTTTGGATGGTGTCTTCTGTTTGTAGTTCTTGCTGATCTGCGGCAGTCTCGGGCTGAAGTGGCTCGGTGACTGCTGCAGTTGTCTCCGTCTGTCTGGGCCGCAGGTGGTCACCATGACGATGCCACACTGTACCGTCGTTGAGGCGGACTTGTGCTGATGAGTTACTGGTGGCGCCTATCACACGAGCAGGCAGCCATGTCGCACCTTGACGGAAATTCCTTGCGAAGACTTCCTCTTCAGTGCCACATGACGGACCTTGCCGGCACCCTTTATCCGTGTACAGCTTCTGCTTTAGCTGTATGAATAGTACTGACGACTGGAGGCTTGGCCGGAGGACATCTAACGGTGTTTTAAAACGTCTCCCGGTCAGTAGCTCGCACGGCGCTCTGCCGGTGACCTCATGCGGAGTGGTCCTGTAGTGGAACAGAAGTCTCGATATCTGAGTCTGGAAACACCCAGATGCGCTCTTCTTAAGTTTGTTCTTGACAGTTTGAACAACACGCTCCGCTGCACCATTAGAAGCTGGATGATAGGGTGGTACAAGCATGCGGCGTATACCGTTGCGTGTCAAGAATTCCAAGTATTGTTCACTTGCGAAGGCAGGACCATTATCTGATACTATCAGATCTGGCAGTCCATGCTGGGCAAATGCTACTCGCAAATCTGTGATAGTAGCTTCTGCCGAGGTGGATGGCACGGGGAAAACTTCTACCCACTTTGAGAATGCATCCACAATGACTAGGAAGATTCGCCCCATGAATGGGCCTCCAAAGTCAATGTGAAGCCTTGACCAGGGCTTTTGTGGAAAAGGCCAGGGTGTCTGCTGAACCGGCTATGGAGCCCGTTGATGAGCTTGGCAAACTGTGCAGCTCTTCACGTTTTTGGCAATATCATTGTCAATACCCGGCCACCAGACGTGGCTTCTGGCGACCATTTTGCTTTTCTCAATGCCGGGATGGCCTGCATGAAGAAGCTTCAGGACTCGATCTTGCAACACTTGTGGGACTACCACTCGTGCTCCCCAGAGCAAACATCCGTCATGAAGGCTTAGCTCAGTACTCCTTGCGCTGAATGGGTTCCCTTCTGGTCCCAATGTAATGCCCTCTCCTCTCAGGACAGCAAGCATCACGTTACCCAGAAACGGGTCATTCTTCGTTGCTTGAGCCACTACAGCAGGTGACAGAAGACTGGGGTAAGCCTCTTCGAGCATAAAGATTTCAGCTGGCACAGGTTCTGAAACACTGTTTGTCGTCACTGGCAGTCTACTGAGTGCGTCCGCGTGTCCGAAGTCTTTCCCCGGTTTGTAGAGAAGCTGGTACTTGTAAGCAGAAAGCTTGAGAGCCCACCTAATGAGTCGAGGCGAAGCGTGGACTGGAATCGGCTTGTCAGGACTCAGCAATCCAAGTAGAGGCTTGTGGTCTGTGAAGGCTTGGAACGGGTTTCCCCACAGGTACTGGTGGAACTGCTCAACACCGTACACCAAAGTTAATGCCTCTTTGTCGAGCTGGCTGTAGTTTTGTTCGGCTCGGGACAAGCTTCTGGATTGTAACGCTGTTTATTCCGCAGACTATGCGGTCTCTCAGCATGTTCCCTAGTTCTGTTCCAAAATTGCAGTGCTCCGACAGGCTCTTCAACGCTGCAACAAACTTGCTTACGGTCTCCCCTTCCGCGCGAACACGCGAATTGAAACGAAACCGTTGAACGACAGCAGGAGGCTTGGGGCAGTAGTGATTCCCGAGAACGTCAAGAACCTCGTCTAAAGACTTATCTTGTGGCTTGGCGGGCTTCACCAGGTCTCGCAGTAGGGAGTATGTCCTCGCGCCGCAACAGCTGAAGAAAATGTCCTTCTTCTTGGTATCGTCAACGTCGTTCGCAGAAAAAAAAAAAGCTTCAAGACGTTCGACGTATGACGGCCACTCCCCACCTTCTCCCTCAAAAGGTTCAATTCTGCCGAACGTGGGCATGGCGAGCTGAGAAGCTTGAAGAATGCCTGGTGCTCGCGAACTTGCACGTCGCGAACTTCCGACGTTCGAAGAACTTGAACGAAGTCTTTTTCCCTCGTCGCCAATTGTTACAAGCGGGGATAGACCGCACGGCCGGCAGGACGTGGCCGGCTAAGCAGAAACATAACGCCGTCGTTCCTTTCGCTTCAGGAACTGAAGAAGAAGTGTTTTAATGTCTCGTGATGGCAATCGAGGTAACCGACGACTACCGCTATGAAATCTGGTAGCGCTATCAGCCAGATAGAGATTGTAACAGTATCATAAAAGAGTGTCCATAAAGCGGTGGAAAAGGGAAAGGGGAAGCTTTGACTCTTGCTTACATCGTGTTATTTGGATCGAGTCGCCCTTTATCTCTACAAATATAATTGCAAGATGAAGGCCCTTTACTGACTGTCCAGAAAGCCTGTTAAGAGAGGTTCAAATTGCTATCCCTAGCAGTTTTAATAATTTTTTATGCTTAACTAATGTGTGCACTGTGCCAATGCTGTTTATGAATTTATGTACATAGATGATTTCGTTGTTCAACAGCTGAAGTTAACAGTACGATCAAGAGAATCCTACCCGTGTCATCACGGCGACAGGTGTTGCCTTAATGACTTTTTAACCACGTGAACAGGAAGTTGATTCAATTATTGCAAAACTACCGTGTTAACCACAACATATGCATGTTGGTACTCACCAAGCAGAATTTCAGCAGCACTGCAGGCGCTGTTGTTCATGACCTCAGAGGTACTGATGCTGGCACCTTGCGAAGTAGACCTTTGCATGTTGTCAGACAAATCGCATGACTCGCCTTCAAATATACCTGTAAACAGAGCGAATAATCAAGCTACATGAAGTCAACAATGTCATTGTTGATGTCGTATAGTCATAAATACTGTCAATGTCTAGAATTATGCTGGCCTCACGTGGTCTTTTTATCTGTATGGCAGCAAAAATGACACTTTCATAACTTTAATTTATGGAACTGGTATGAATCTGGCATCACACAAGAATATCAAATATTTTTACTGGCAGTATTAGCTTCCTGGTCAGCAGCTGGCATTAAACATTTGTTTGAATTTTCAAGCCCACAGTATTATCTAAAAGGCACGAATGAATGGGTGCTCTAGCACCATCTTTGTTTTCCTTCGGCAGAAAGAGCTGTAGAAATAAACATGGCTGTAAATTGTCTGGGGTTATACAAAGCCACTTGTGGAATGTTTTCTCCACTTTCAGTTTAAAAAGCTTTGCAACAAGCTTGACATTGACAGCCGAGTGTAAGATCATCACAATACAGCCCCCTCAGAAAAAAAAATAATTATGCAACCCAGAAAGAGAAAAACAAGACGTGAGGACTTCTAAATAACTTAACTTTTTTTTTCTTTTGGCGGGCGGGGGGGGGGGGGGGGGGGGGTGCAACAGGCACATAGTATCTGTATGTGCAGGATGCCTATGTTTTTTTTTGTTGTAACGTCATTTTATGCAGTACTCGATGCCGACAGCACGAACTCACAGAGGATATAATATTAATTATAATTTTTATTTGCACAATTGGGTTACTTACTCGGCAGCGTGCAAGGCTAGAAAGAAAGGCTGAGACCCGTACGCAGATGCGCCTGTTAGCCCGCCACCAAATGGGGAAAAAAAAAGAGGATAAAAGGAAAAGGTGGGTGAACAAGACGGTCAAACATGAAAATACGCGTAAAAAACGGGTAGCAATCATTTGGGCCGCCGCCGGCACCATCACCATCACAAACGCCCCCCCCCCCCCCCCCCCCCTCACCTCTCCCCCCATGCTGCTCTACCAGGCACCCGGCGCGGGGAGCCCACAAAAATATCCACGCCCGCGGCAGCGAGCGGCAATCGGCTGTTCATAGTAAGATGACACGCACCATCGCCTGAAACCCACGACCTAAGAAGTAGCACGAAACAAAATGCCACTGTAGAGTAGCAGTTAAAGATAAGAGCTCGAGTTGGAACACGCTCTTTCGCTCGCTTCAAGGTAAAAGGAAAAAGAAGAAAAGAAAATCGCCGCTACGCAAGTTGGACCGATTGATTTATGTTGCTCGATGTACTGTACCTTCATCCGCACTTTTCACATATCCAGGGGCTTTAATGTCCCCATCCTAAGACA